TATGGAAAGATATTTCTATGCCCAAGAGGCCTGACCACAGAAATGTGTTATAAAACAAAAATGCATCTCTTCAGATTCTGGCATTATTTACCAATTCTGAAGAGATTTAAGGAGAAAAGCAATGGGGGTAGGGGGTATCTCCCAGGCACTTTACACAATTCAGGCTCTGCTCATTAATTCAACAAAAACTTTTTAACACTTAGTGTAGGCCAAGTTATGTTGGCATGAGAAAGTGAATAGGATCAGACAGACGTTGTCCCAGCTGTCATTCATGGAGTATTCAGTATTCTGTTTGCATTCAATATGGAAAATCAGAGTTATCGCTTTTGTTTGTTTTTAGCTTAGTAAATTTGTCTGCTAGGTTACAGCTTACTAAAAATCAGTTGCTTGATGTTAAGAATACCTCCAATCCCAGCTGGCCAAAGAACCTTACAGGACAGTGTGATAAACCAGGAATAGAATGCTTCACTCAGGTTCTTTTTTGAATTTGGCTCCATTCCTGGATTCCAGGTACAATTAATGGAGAATGAGATAAGACCAAGTGTGGGAGAATGCTGGTGTTAGAGCCATGTTACCTTCCAGCCCTCCTCTCTGAAGCTATAAATACAAATGACCAATTTAACAGCATGAAAGACCACCTACAAGATCTATACCTGGGATCTAATCAGCTGCTCTGTGCCTTCTTTCAATTACAGGATCCCTGCTATGTTTATGAGGACTTTTAATGTGAGCATCACATTTTGAAGGCCATATCATTATGACCATGTTTGATGTGAGGGTGGGAAAGCAGGAGCTCACAAAGCCTGCACAAGGCTACTCTGAACTGAGCTGTAAACTGGAATCAAGAGCCTACCGTGGAAAAGAAGAAAAAAATCAGGTAAGAAGAAAGGCTTAGATACCGTGGAGATTGTATGCTCCAAAAGTGGTGCCATTAAAATCACTCTGAATTCTGCTCAGGAAATGGAATTTGTCAAGAATGAGTACTATGGTTTTGACCAAAAAATGCTATTTAAGGGCATCTGTAAAACAGGGATGATAAAAGACCTAAGGACAAACACATCATCTCCACTCGAGTGTAGCAACAGGATATGATTTACAAAAGAAAAATCATCACGATGGTTAGAAGAAGTGAATTGCAGCTTATGTGAAAATAACCCTGAGTCACAATGCATGTGACTTCTCACGCGATTGCTTAAGACTTTATGAGTGAGAAGACCCCCTTATACAAACTCAGCTTTCTTGCCAAACACTCTGTAAGCTGTACCATACAAGTGCAGAAATCTTTCCTCAGTTACGGTTATTCCATGATCCCTGTGCTCAGAGCACTCTGGTCCTTCAGGAAGCTTCTCATTCTATACCCATTCTTTGTTATCTTGCTGCCTCATTCATTCCTGTGACTTAAACTGCTACCTCTGAAGACTCAATCCGCTCTCTCCCAGGAGCAGGTCTCCCCCTCTATGTCTCATACACATCTCAGAGTTAACTCATCCAGTCTACCGCACCGTCTTTCATCTCAAATCCAATCTTCCTCGTCAGCAACGAGCCAGTTATCCACACACAAAAAAAGGAGAGTGACCCTTTTCCCCTTTGTTTCATTTACACTTCTAATTGATTATCCTGGCCCCAAAGGACTAAAACAGCCTGTTACTGTTTACAATATGTTTTGCCTCTTTTTCTTATTGTTATTGCCATTGCTTTTGCTCAAGTCCCTTACTAGTCTCTAGCTTGTCCAAATCTTTTTTTTTTTTTTTTGACACACAGTCTTGCTCTTTGGCCTCAGTTATCACAGCTCACTGCAGCCTCAAGCTCCTGCTCAAGTGATCCTCCCACCTAAGTCCTCTGAGTAGCTGGGATTACAGGTATGAGCCACTGTGCTCTGCCCAAATCTTTTTATTGTTAGTTATAATGTATTTCTTCATAAACATAAAAAGCAAAGTGATCCCCCCTCAAAAATCCCACGTGCCAAAACAAAAGCAACCCAACCTGGTCATATCACCCCTGCACATAGTACTTTTCAGAATTAACAATTGCCATGCGACAAAGTTTGGGTTCTTCATCTCCTTTTGGGTCTTGTGCTCTCATATGCCCCATAATCTAGCTCCACTATGTCTCTTGCCATTTTCCAAACACGTCACATCTTTCATCCTTCTAACACACGCAATGTTTTCCTCTGCCCAGAATGCCTTTTGCAGAGTTTCTGCTGAGAATCTCTCAGTCTCCTCATCTGTACGGCAGGGAGATGTGGCTGCTACTTCAGAGGGCTGTCATGAGGGCTAAGTACAAAGGTGATCCACTCTCCATGGTATACAGCCTAGAGAAGTGCTCAGTAAATAGTAGTTATCGTCATCATCAGACCACCTTTGTTCTTTTTCAAGCCTGAACAAAAATATCTCCTTTGCTGGAAGTCTTTCATGCTTTACTTAGAAGAGCTGGGCATTCCTCTTCTCTGATTCTATGTGCCTAACTATATAGCATAGTTATATCAACCCCCAAATTGATGGAATTCTCCCGTTTTAGCAACTGTGATATTGAAGTATATCATATACTTTGAATGTCATAGTTTAAATGGTAGCAATTTATCCTTCTTAGTACTATATGTAATAATGTTTTTTAAAAAAATAATAAATAGCATAACAGATAAAATGCTATACTTAAACCCAACTGTCATGAAAATTTGATTATACAGGGTGAGTAATGCATAGGTGAAAAATACTATATTTTCTAGAAATTGGTGAACTATCTACATAGAAAAGAGACTGCTATCTGCAACCCCAAATAGTAGCCAAGTGATATTCTGTTGGTATATACTGGAACATGGCAAAACTATATCATATTGCTACTGGTTATGACCCATTTTTTAACCACAGACCCTTTGGAGTCACAGAGCTGTAGCCTGCTAAAGTAACATGCTGTCACCTCCTTCAGTTAAGGGGTCCTACCTGAGAGCAAACAAGCCTACAGCAACAGTGGCTGGGGGCCAGTCTGTGCCACTATGCATTCCAATACCACTATGCATATTCCAATGCAACTATGCATTTCCAATTCCATAATATTGGAAATGTTCATGATTCCTATAATGTTGCTTCTTTTTTATATTCTTAATTTTTTTTAATAGAATGGTAATATTTCCTTCACATTCTTTTTGACAGCTGATTAGACTAAATTACAGATCGTTTCTCTATACGACAGTCTTTGGGAGAATGTCATAGAATATATGATTCACTTAGTATTCCTAGCACACTACAATGCCTAGCGTATAGCAGGCTCTGAACAAATATCCTTAAATACATATGAAAAGGTGAACTAAGCTCAACAAGAATAATTCTGAACCTGGATTCCCTGTGGAATCAATTGTGAATTAAAAAAAAATTCTCATGCCGGGTTTGAGCCCCCAGAGATGCTGGTGATGAATCCAGAGTTTGGCTGGGTGTTGGCATTTTAGGAAAAAAATCTCTCCCAGGTGATCCTAGGGTACAGTGGGGTTAAGAACCACTGCCCCAGGACTTCCTTAGAATAGCTTACTATGGCCACACCCTTGCATCCCTGATGCAAGATCCAGTTTGCTCCTTATCAATTCTTTGAATAGACCAGAATTTTCTTGAGAGACCTGGTGGAGACGAGGTTAACACATAACTCCAAATGATGATTTGCAAATTCCCTTTCCAAGGTGCCAAAGAAGATTCCCAAAGTTCTAAATCTGTTTGTATTTGTCTCTTTCAACAAATACAAAGAATAAAATTCACAATATACGGAATTTAAGATGCTGGCTGGTTTGAAGAGACCACTATAGCATACAGGCAGACATGATGATAGACGCATTATAGAATTTTCCTGAAACGGAACAATGGCAGTCAAAATAAAAATGGAATCTAGAACACATAAGCATAATTTCAAGTTAATTTTACATTATGTTAAAAGCAGACATTAACTAATTGGGGGTCAGCAAAGGAAAGTACTTCATGCTTTTCTTCAGGCCATTGAGGTTGTATTTACGTGGTGTAATTACAAAGCAACGTGTTTATCTTGATAATTCACATATAAATTCCACCCAATGTAGTCAGGTAGTACATAAGGATTGGTGTTCTTGTTTGGTCTCAAGATGGTACTTTGCCTGACTGCATCATTTCCATCATATATGAGGTTCTGCAACGTCCATGAGAACTCTGACTGCTGCTTCAATGCAAGCAGACTCTCATCATGAAGGAGCAAGCTATGATCTCTGTACCAAGGGAGCAGCTGGAACGGGGTTCCTCTGACTCACAGACTGAGAATTTCCCTGCCAATCCTCAAGGTGGTTTGGCCATACTTTATAGATTTGCCCTGCTTAACAGACTTTTGTTGAGGGTGTGGTATCATGTGACCTTATTCAATAATAGAAACAACATGTTGGATTATCCCAAAGGTTCCTACGTGCATTTCCTCTGGCTTTCCAGCAAAGAAAACAGCTCCCTCCCACCTACCCCATTTTTGTTTTAAATTTGAGAAGTAAAATAGAAAATATCTAAAAGGCATTAAACTTTCATGTTTACTAACCCTGATTAACAAAAGTTCCCTGCTCCTGCCAAAACTGTGGAGGAAGGAACAGCACTTGTTCAGATTTCTAAGTAAGCAGTGGGTCTCATGCGTATCACTTTCATTTCCTAATCCCAAGGGGCTGGTAGGTGCCAAGTGATTAGATGTGTGACATCCACTTGGCCCTCATTTCCCTATCCAGAAAGAGATGGGAAATGCAACATAAGTTTCTAAGTTGCTACACTCATAATACCAGGAAGATAATCACCATCCACCTGTCCAGGCTGACCACAGATCTGAAATGCATGACTGTATAAGCTTTGCATATACTCATTTGTACATCACCACCATGGGAAGATGGACTAATGAAATCAATGAAGTTCTGCCTGGGTCAGCCAGGATGCAAGGGGCGGTGGGCCTCAGAGAAAGATTCACGACATAAAGATGTTTCAGAGCACTGTGTACATGTAGCCGACAAAGCCTCCTACCTTTCTGGAAGAACTCCTCCAGTTTGTCTTTGAAAGGCTGAAGATACTCTTTTGGGGACTCCTTGCACACCACCATCATCTGTTTCTCACTTACTGTGAAGAGAAGTTTAGAATTAGATTTATTCCAGAACATATATTTGCTGAGTGCCCACCATGGGCCAGGCCCTGTGCTATGTACTTGGATATCAACTGTGCAGACTCCTTGTCAATCAGTGTTTATCCAAATTCAGGGTGGGGGAAAAGCAAAAATTGAAATAACAAACAAACCAACAAAAATAATTAGTTTATTCTATACTTCTTTTCAGAAAAGGAAGATGTATAACCTTTCAATTTTCCTTCTAATGAACCAGAAAAATCTCTGACACATGACAGGTAAAGTGTTCTGCTTTTGATCTCCCTCAAATAAAAAAAGGTAAAAACTATTTGAAGACTAGTCCCAAGAAGGAAGGTCCCTGGCCCTCTTCAGATTCATACTCAAAAAGTAGAGCTTGAAAAAGACTTCACAGAAATTCCCAGGTATCCTTGTAGTCTGAGACAGCCAAACTGGTGGTTCCTCAGAGCGACACACACAGCCCAGCCTGAGAACTCAGCCCAGGTCAGGGAGGGCAATGCCTGCTCTGCATGCTTCCCATTCACCCCCTCTTCCTATTAATTCTCTAGCACATGTGAAATAATTTTATATGATTTACTTCAGAAAGAATACCTGGAATTTATAATGGATTGCTTTTTTGATAATTGAGTTGACTCAAATTGGATAGTCCTGAGTTGGCTGCCTGGAAACCACAATAAGTCATAGTTCACCCCCAACAAAAGGCAGTTAACCCAAGCACAAGGCGTCCATCTCCCCAAGGTTTTTATATTTGGGTCAGTTGCAGAAAGGCCCTGGGAAAAGAAAGGCTTCATTTCTCTAAAGCTATGTTAACTTTTGTCTGTTGACCATGAGCGGAAATTATGAAAGCATTGGAATTTTTACCAAGAAGAAATCGTGCCACATAGTTCAAAAGATAGAGAAACGTATACTTGGAGGATTTTACGAACATAAAGGTAAGGCATTTTAGAAGAGGGTCAGGAGAAGGACCTTTGTTTATACTGGGAAATTCCTATCCAGGAATTAGGCATTTTGAAAACTGGTGTCCCAGGCAAAGCAATAAGCATGTCAGCACCGAAACACAGAAAATGCAGAAGGCCATTCAAACGCCCTCAGAAATTACTTATGTGATGCTTTTCATTTGCAACATTGCCAGCTAGATCGCTAAAATCCTAGACCATGCTGGGAGACTGTATCAGACTGTGCTGAAGATGAAAGCATGACTTGAGGGAATCTTTGTTATTTTCTGAGTCAAAGTCTGAACCTCCCACCTTCTCATAGGTACCCAGGGGTTCTCAACATGAGACAGGAGGCTAGAGAACAGGATGGGAGTACCTAAATTCACACTCTGAGTATTGATATTGCTATTTTCTAAAAGTTTTTAATGGAGCATATCTAGAATATCTGCTTTTACCTATTCTGACAACCCTTCCAATGTTTTCTAGGAAATACTGTCCACCTGTCCACTGGGATGCAAAGACTAATTTTTTTTAATGACCTACCTTATTAAAGAAATACAAATTTTACCTTAAGAGAAATGGGAAACAAATTTCTTAAAATCAGCTTAACCATCAATCCAAAACATTCCTTTTTTTACATTTTTACCTTTCTTTGTAAGCTTCTTTGTCCTCTTTATAAGACCTAGTTTATAAGTTCTCTGTGGTTGTCAGACTCCCCTTCACCTCTTTCCTAGCAGATGGACCTGTGGCCAAAGGGTAAGGAAGGTTCTTCCCACCTTTATTCTCCAAATAGAGGTGCCTTCTGTGGGCTAGAGTGATGTTTAGACAGAGGGAGAGAGAGAAAGAAGGAGAGAGGAGACAGAGCTGGTATATATTTTGGAGGTGAAACAAATAGATCTTTTTGACACATCCAAGGTAGAGTTGAGAGAGAAGGAAAGTAAGGCATGAAAAACAGGGGTCTGGGAAGTGCCCTGTCCTGAGATGGGGAATAGTGGGGAAGGTATCTTGTTTGGTTGTTTTTATTTGTTCATTTCTTAAGGCAAGAGGAGATCAAGAGTTAACTTTGAAGCTTAAGTTTTGTCTGGTCTCTATAAATTATAAGACAAAGGGGGAAAATAAAGGGGAAAAGGTAAAGAGAAGATAAAACTACTAATGAGTTTGATTGCTAATTCAATTAAATTCAAACACCATGACCTGGGATTTAAGGCTCTATTTCTCACATATGCCTGAGCAACCAAATCAAAATTATTCAATGTCCTAATTATATCAACTACCATCCCAACTTCTGTGTCTTCATTCATGGAGTTCTCTGCTCTAGTTTCACCCCATACATACTTTTTTGGTCTCATCTCATACATACATCTGAAAAAGTCCTGTTACCCAAAACATTTCTCTGAGATGCCACCATCACCATAAAGCCTTTTCCAACCCAAAGATTTTGCATTCTTCAAACATCTCTTGTACCTTCTGTACAGTGTTCATGTTTTATTTTTAGTTATATTTATTCATGTACATACATTAACCCCTGAGAAACAAGGATGCAGGGTTTCATTTATTTGTCTCCAAACTTCTCTAGAGAGCTTCATGCATCTGGTCAAAATATCAGATTTCCTCAGATTAACTAGACACTTCTAGGAGGAGGGGAGATGTATAAATAAAATTAGCAATATTGACACAGACTCAGAGTGAGCTTTCCAGGGATACAGTGTGACCTGCTTGTCCCTTTGTGTGTTCCTTGCTTTCTAGGACAGCTGTGCCAGGGTTCAAAGTCTCTATACTCATCAAAGATGGCAAGGTGTCCCCAGGCTGATCTGAAAGGGCTGAGTGTATTTTAAAGATGCCTAGAAATGCCCATGAAGCATAAGCAGGGAAGTAAAGATGAATGGGTAGTTCTGGGGGTAGGCCAAGAGCAGACAGCTGGTCAGATACACTTGGAAAGTCATCTGCTTTGAAGAATCAGCATTTCTCAAGGAACTTTCATGGGCACATAAAGTTTTCTGATGGGTGCATAACATTTTCTAATGATATCTGAGAATACACATAGCCATATTTAAAGGAAAGCTAGAATTTCTCACAATACAAATGGGGAGAGCCCTTCTAACAGTTTCATTAATATAGAATTATTTTTATGAAAACTAATTGTATGAGGCACATCTACTATTTGGTAATAGGATATGACCGAAGGTATGACAATAATCCTTCAAGGATCCTTCTGACTAAAACAAGTAAAGACAGAGCTTACTTCCCTAACTACAACAGTAAAATTTCTGCATTTTCCTGAATTAACAGGGTTGATCTCTGCAGCTCTGCCTTTGTCCTGGCTGTGATGACAAAGCCCAGTCAAATGGCTCAAATTTTATGGGGCCAAATCATGGGGTGATAAAGAGCTTGTGCTTGGACAGAGACCTGCCTGGGCTCAGGTGGGCTGTGGCTTGCTTTCCTCATCTGCAAAATAGGATCCCCCCCCCCATAGGCATGATTTAAGTGGAATATTGCACAGGTAGTGGTTTGCAGAATGCCTGGCACCAGCAAGCAGGCTTATAAACATTACTTGTTATTTTTATGATTTGGTAAAATTGGTTGGGAAACGTGTCAAAGTCCGAACAGTAAGAGACTCATGGCTGGAGATTATTCGCCACACACGCTAGGCATGATATTTATGGAAATACTCCACAGTGCAAATCTCCTGTTTAGAACACAGGGATAATGATTTTCAATCCCTTGCTGAAGTTCCACCACCCCCTGTGAGAATTCACTGAAGAATGTAGGCAAACTCCTGGGGCAAAACGAAGCAAAACATGAAACAATTCCCCTAGGCCTCTGAGCCTTATGGTTTTGAAATTAGAAACTGAAGCCAGTACAAATGAGAGCAGCTCGCTTCTGGCCTCAGAGGTCCTTTCTGCAACCCCATGGGCTAGGACTCCCATGTGGCCTGTTAGAGTTAAACTTCTCCACAGGATCAAAGGTGCGGGCTGCCCTCAGACTGTCCCTGCCTGCACTGTCCTGCGTTCCGGTGGCCGGGCAGCTTGCCCACTCCAATTAATTAACTTGGCTTTTCCAAGATGCTTTCTAGCAGACAAATGAGAGACCTGAAGACTAATTAATAACGACACCGGAGACTGCCAGTGCATGAAGAAGAGAGGTCATGGGCAAATCCACAAATGTCGTTTATTGTCCAGCTAGAAGACTCGTATACAATATCGCTAGACCACCAAGGTTGCCCCACACATAGGCTGTGCCAGGAGCTTCAGTGTTAAGAGCCAAAGCCACCCACCTGGGTTCTCTTCTATTTCTCTCCCTACAGAATTTTTGGCAATTAAAACTATATGAATTCCTGAAGTCAGCAACTAGTAAGTGATGGTTGAGAGTGAGATCAAATATTAAAAACCAATACATAATGCAATAAGAGGCTAAACTGAGATTATCCTCTTTTATAGGGCAAGCACATGTGAAGTATTTTAGTGGAAGGAAAGATACTGCTTTGAATGTTCTAAGATTTTGGATATTAGGCTGGTGAGGTCATAAGTGGTTACCTGATTTTTGATTTTGATCCCTAAGAACAAAGGAATCAAATTTGAGTCACTTAAAAAGTGTGAGTAGGTTAGAAGGATGTAGAGGCAGGACCCAGATATAATTAGTCAAAATCTAACACATGTCTAATCACCCGAATAGCTCAAATGGGCAGTTGTTAAGAAAATATAGTGTGTGTTTCTTTCCCTGTAAGTAGAGGGACCTCTGAGCTTAGTTAAGTCAGAATACATATTTGGAGGAAAGGAAGAACTTATCGAGGCTCCCACTTTTCTAATCTGGAATTCTCTTTCCTCTCGTCTCTGCTCACCTCATTTCTACCCCACCCTTCCACAGTCCTATAGGCTGGCACTACCTCTTCCCCATTTTTGTGAGATCGTCCTTCTCATAAGCTCCAAGCTCAAAAGACCACCATAGAAAATCGTTGCAAACATAGAAGTTTTTGACTAAAGCAAATTTTTGTATTATATCAATGGGACTCAAGTGAGAGACATAAATTGAAGTTAGATTACAAAGGG